ATAGAAGATGCAAAAGGAACAGATCCCCATGCACTCTCCCCCTGCTTCCCCAAGGACACTTACGTAACCACAGGACAAGGATCAAAACCAGGAAACTGACATCATATAACACTATTAACTGAACTACAGACCTTACTCACATTTCACCATAAACATCATTTCTTAACTGTTATGTTCTCTATTTGTCACATGGCATGCTTCCTCCACCCCCCCACCCCCACTAGCTACATTAAACCACAAGATTTTTCCAAATAATTACTGTGTAACACCATCCCACTGAAATAAGTTCATCCCCATTTTAAAATTATTGACAAGGGTTTCAGTCCATGTCATATCACCAATTTTTAAATTTGAGATTAAAAAAAGAAAATTAGTTAACTTCCTCTGCTTTTATTTTTTCTGCCACTACTTGCTACCTCTATCCTCACTCTAACCTCCAAGCTCCCCACCTTTTCTCACACAAACAAACACCCACCATACTCTAGATCACAAAATAAAGAAAGCAAAAATAAGTGGTCCCGAATATTCACTTACCCATTGAGGAAAGGATCTGAGCTATTATTAGTGATGGATCTCATGTCTGGAGTCATGGTGGGGGGGTTAACAGCAGCCTGAACCGTGGCCAGAGTCTCGGCTTCCATGGGGAGCTGTCTACAGAGGGCAGCTTCCTGCAGAAATATGCCAGTCAGAGGGAGAGACAAGAGTTATTCCCTCAGTCTCAGGATCAGAGCAAAGTATACTTCACATGAAAACATTTCACCAAATACAAAGCACTTTACATTAATTGCTAATAAGTCAAAATCATCAGGAAATCATTAGTGTTCTTTCTCTGAAGAAAGTCTTACAGGCGAAAGACACTTCCTCACATTCACAAAGTTAATAAGAAGCTCAGCTAATATTTCTCCTCGGGACACTTAGTAATGTCCCATCCATCCAATTGCTTAAAAGCCCAAATCTTAGAAAGGCCTCTCAAGGCACTTGCTCAGAGACAAGGCTATTTTTATCCTAGGGATTCAGACCAAATCTCCATCAATCAAAGCCATTGGACTCCTCTGCACTAGCAGGTACATTCTGGTCTTTGCCAGGCACTGGCCAGTAAAACTGTGGGATTACAGAGTTCAAGCTCTACATTAAATCATAGCTGGCACTTTTATGTCAGTAGCCAGGAGAGCAAAACAATCAGTTAAAAACTTGTTTGTCAATCAGTTGTTCTATAGACTAATTATTTTGTCAAGGACTAAAATGGCTGAAGGTTAGGGAAACATGCAGACCTAGTCCAAATCCCTCTGCTGAATGAATGTTTGAGAGCATCTGCATTTCATTAGCAAAAATCAGAATGCTAGCAGTATTTTTTTTAAAGCTAATATTACTTTGCCAAGAGAGTCAACCCAAAGATTATGGATTTGACAGCCATTATTTTCTCTAGGTATAACCTCCAGGGAGTCTCTCCCATTTTGACAAACATAATCAGACATCAAATTTCTTTCAAATTCCAGAGAATAGTTATGCATGTTTATACTTCATCCAAAACCAAGGCTAGGCCCTTTCCATACTTATGCCTATCAGTTGCCCACTTTCCAGGCTAACAACATTGGTCTCACTGTCCCATAAACCCCCACCCTATGGCTACAATGGCAAAGAGAATATTTAGGCCATGTAAGTTACAATATCTTTATTAGATCTGTTCCAGCCCTAATATGCTATGATTTCACAGAGTAACTGCTGTCTAGACAAGTCTAGTGAAGTCATCGGCTATAAAAATTTTCAGTTACTAGAGTTCACTGCACTGTTACTAGGAGTTACGGTGACATGTTTCTCACATATGGTGAGGCTGACTGATAAGAAATTGCATTGCTAACATACACTGAAATTAATGCCCTGGCTAGGAAGGGCTCCTGGTCACTTTTGCTCATTTAGCTTGCAAATAATCAGAAT